CCCCCTGCCCTTTCCTGCTGGCACCAAAAGGGCTGATCCCCAACTATTCCTCCCTGGCTTGCATTTCCTGACAGGCCCAGGCAGCCGTGCAGGGGAGGCTCCAATAAGTGGATCCACATGCAATATTCATGGATGGCTTCAGAATAGTTACAGATCCATCACGCTTGGCAGCGGGATGGGGACGGCGTGCTCTCCTAATGCTGGCCTTGAGCACCTTCTTGAACCCGAGCCCTGGGCATGGAGCCGGGGGTGCCGGCACGGTCCCGCCGCTGCCGTGTCCCCAGCTGTCCTGCCAAAGCCCCCACAGTCCCCTCCCACCTCAGGGAATCCCTGGAAAGCCTCTGGGGACCTGGGCCTGTGGGTATCTCTGGCCATGCCGTGCTACGCTGCTCCTGCACCCAGCTGGAGCCCTGGGTAAGGAGCAGGGAAAACAAGGGAGCCACTGGAGCTTAGTGCCCTCACTGCGGGAAAGGTTTGTTTACCAGCTTCTGGCCAGCACCACAGTGCAGCTCCAAACCTCATCTCATCCCCCAGGATTAATTTTTACACAATCATTCCGCAGTCTGCGATAATCGCTCCATAAAAAAATGAAGAGATTTGGGGCTTTTCTCCGGCGCGGAGGATTAGGTCTGAAGACGAGTAATCTGCAGGAAGCTCAGCTGCATGCACACCACTCATCTCTCTGCATTCTTCCCAGCTTTAGGTCTTTCATTGGGATCGCCCACAGTGGGCTGGCTGCCCCAGGCAGGCGGGCACATCCCGAGGGATCGGCCGTGTGCCAGCCCAGGGGGGCACGGCGGCAGCTTGGGCAGCGCAGTGCCATGAGCCCTGCAGTGCCATGAGTCCTGCAGTGCCATGAGCCCTGCAGTGCCATGAGCTCCTGCAGTGCCATGAGCCCTGCAGTGCCACACAGCCCCTGCAGTGCCATGAGCCCTGCAGTGCCATGGGCCCTGCAGTGCCATGAGTCCTGCAGTGCCACGCAGCCCCTGGTGCCCCCAGCCTGTGCTCATCAGCTCTTTTCACTACACACAGGAGCCTCTGGAACCGGCTCCCTCCAGTTTCCTTGGGAAGGAGGTGAAGCAATTGGCACAGGAGACATAAACGCAGCGCAACAGAGCAGGTGGTGGGGTGGTTTTAAAAGGTAACAAACTATTAAAAGAAATGATGAGCTTATATGCTGAAGCCTTTAGTAAAATCATGGTGGTTTAACCAGGTGAAGAGTGAATAATAACCTGGGAACTGGCAATTTCCCTGTTCCAGAGGCAGCTGTCTGTGTTCTCCTGAGCCCCCAGGAACCCCCTTCAGCTGCCGGCCTTGCCAGGCCTGGCTTAACTATACCTGGACCTGCACTAAAAGCAGCAGTGAGTGGAGGAGGTAGCAACACACGCCCCAATCCCTCCTCAAGGGCATACCAGGATTATTCCCACTGAGGCTTGGGACTGAATTCCCAAATATTCCTGATGGGATGTGACCCCATGCCTGGAGCTTGGCAGGCTCCTGGCGCTGCCAGAAGGGTGAGAGCTCACAGGCTGAGAGAAGTTTTAGAGTCAGGAGGAGAGACATGCCCATTGTGCCCAGCAAGCATTTTTCCAAATATAATTAAAATAAGCACATCTCTACCATGGCTCTGACCACAGGGATACGGATGCAACGCCAGGTTTTTAAAACAAAATAACGTAAGCACTTAGAAAAGGACTCGAGCAGACTTTGGGTACTTATGTTGAAAATAATTGTCCCAGGAAACCCGATTCAGCAGCCACCCAGGCTGAAAGCACTTAGGCACACGCGGGCAGGCGTTCAACAAAGCATTTAGTGACCCCGGCGCTGCATCAGCAGGAACGCGGGGCTCCGGGCAGGGAGGGAGTGACTCAGGGAAACCGCGGGGCTCAGGCGGGAGAGGTCCCGCCTGGACCCTCCTGGACCCTCCTGGATCCTGCCTGGACCCTCCTGGCTCCTGCCAGGGTCCCACTGCAGTCCTACCTGGTCGTGCACGGGTCCCACTGGGATCCCACCTGGTTCCAGCCTGGCCCCGAGCACGCCCGGCAGTGTCCCCTCTGTGCCCCCCGTTTGTCGCTGGCTCCTGCCTCCCCTTCTGCTCCCACTGCCCTAAGGGCTGGGGTGTGATGGTTCCCGAGCCCTGCGGGGTGACAGGAGCTCACTCCTCACACCCTTCCCCTGGGAATACCTTTGCAGTCCAAGCAAATCCAGCAGCCGAGGAGGGAGAATGCTCGTGGTAATAAATTCATGGATTTTCACACCCCAGCAGGCTGACAAGCACCTGGTTTTAAAGAGACTTTAAAAGCACTTGGAGAGCTGTGAGCTGTGAGGCAGAGCGAGACCCCCTTATGCTTGGAGACCCCAAACGCCAGCTTCAAAGGAGGGAGGGAAATTGCAAAGATAGCCTGGAAAAAGTGGAGACAAATCTTCAAAGCACAAGTTTCCTGTGCTGATATAAAGACCATGTACCTTTTGCATGAATAAGTCAAAAGTGGGAACCTTTCCTAACCTGACAGGGGGTTCCTCTGCAGGGCTGTGAAGTGATGGATGCTCCTGGATCCTTTTGTGTGGTGCCTCTCCTCGATGGGACCATCCCTGCTGCAGTGCCACCCCTGCTGCCAGGGACTCTGCCATGGGTGCCCTGCCAGCGGGGTCTGTCCCGCTGCCCAGCTGAGGGGTTTCACACATTTCTCCTTGGGGAGCCTCAGAGCTCAGCTAACCACGTTCCCTGCCATGCCACTGCTGGATGTCCCTGACTTTAGGGAGGTGTTTCTCACCAGCTGAGGGCTCGGTGCTCCTGGGGCTGTCCCAGGACTGGTGGGAAGCTGCTGACAGCCTGGGACACGTCCTTCCAAGCTGCCCCTTGTCCTCAGGGCTGCTTGCAGAGCTCCCTGTGCCCCTCCCCAGCCCCGAGCTGCCTAATTGAGGCAGGAGCAGTACCTGGGCCTCCCCGCTCCTGCCGCAGCCTGCGGCGAGCCGAGCTCTGTGTCAATTACAGGAAAATCAATGAAGATACTGTTCAGGACTCCTTTTCACCATTCAGCACGGATGATATCCTTCACTTTCTAGCACTGATTCATTTACTTTCGGCCTCTCCAGGGGCTCCTGACATATTGCTATCTCTGAAGAATCTGAAGCAAGAACTGCCTTTGTTTCCACTGCAACTTGTTGGTGGGGCTGGAGCTCACTGAGGGTCAGGGGAGAGGCTGCAGCACACGGCAGGGTTTAAACATTTCTTACAAAAATACCTTCTTGAGGTCCTCCCAAATCTCTTTTTTTCATGGGCAGAGTCAGGGGAAAAATGGGTCCAAACACAGGATCAAAGTGCCATCAGTGTCCTTGCTCCAGCTGAGCTGTCCCCAAAAGTGGTGATACTGCAGTAGTGCTGCTTCTCTTGGATGGGGGCTGGAGCAACCTGGTCCAGAGGAAGGTGTCCATGGCAGGGGCTTGGAACTGAGTGGTCTTTCCCAGTCCAGCAACTCTCCTGTAAGAGAAAAGCCAGGAGAGTGGACAGGACTGCGACACCAGGGCTGCACAATCGTACTCTGGGGTTTATTCCTGCCCCCAGGACTCAAGGTCAGAAATTACAGGAGGCAACATGAAATGTTATAGAACTGATTTCTGAAATATTTAAAGCACAAGCCTGCAGTTGGTTTATCCTGGGAAGCCTTGGGTTTCTCTGGGACAGCACCATCCATGTTGAAGCTGGGGACACCATGCACTGGATGGACAGTGACAGACATCAGGTGGCAGCCACAAAAAATGCCTCTGTCCTGTGTCAAACCTCTGCTATTTCCTGCATTCCCAGCCTTTTCTCTCTCCCCTAAAGCCACAGGCATCCCCCAGCAGTGGGATATAGACCCCAGGCCCAACTCCCACTGCAGGAGGAAGAACCACGCTGATGCAAACCCCAGCCCTGCCAGCTCCTCGTGTTCCTGCTCTTCAAAGAGAGCTCCGTGCGTGGAGAGCAGTAGGAAATAGCCCAGAGCAAGGACGGGGCTACAAAGACAGCATCTATTATTTATGAGGCACTTCAGTGAACTCGGGGCTTGGAGGCAGAGTGGGCTGGGGGGGGACCTTTGTGAGGGGAAAAATGGAGTTTGAAGGAACACTGAGAGTGCTGCAGCACGCAGGGATCTCGTTCGTGAGAGGCATCCCTGGGAGTGCAGAAGGCTCTCTTGGAGCTCACACGGGATTTGCTCTGTGGTTTGGGGGGCAGTTTAATGACCCGTGCTCCAAACACCAGGCTTTTAAAGAGCGAGGGATCTTGTGAGCCAGCTCAGGGCATGCACTGCCCAGCACAGGCTCCAACAGCTCCGTACCTGCCACCTGGGATCTACGGTGTCACAGGGAAATCAGTGGGAGTGGGCATGCCATGCACCCACCCAGACATGGTCCCCCAGCAGAGGAACGGGTCCCCAGCAGAGGAACAGAGTCCCCAGCAGAGGCACAGGGTCCCCAGAGGCACAGGGTCCCCAGCAGAGGCACAGGGTCCCCAGCAGACACACAGGGTCCCCAGCAGAGGCACAGGGTCCCCAGCAGAGGCACAGGGTCCCCAGCAGCACAGGGTCCCCAGCAGAGGCACAGGGTCCCCATGCTCAGCCCTCACACATAGCTGGGGGCTCCATGGGGTCCCTGTGGCTGCCAGGCTGGGCCACACAAGGCCTTTGGGGGGTCACTTGAGCACCCCAAGGCAGTGGGGAGGGTGGTCTGGCCGCATTAGGCTTGCTGGGGGAGCACTGGGGACATCAGGGTGGGCACGCTGGGGAGGGAACTGCTGCCCAGAGACCCCGGGGCTCTTGGGGGGCACTGGGGCTTTAGAGGGCACACTGGGGAGGTGGAGGGAAGCCGGCGTTGGTGGGCACGCGGGGCCGGGGCCGGCACAGGGCCTGCCGGGGGTCCCCGGGCCGCGCTGCCGCGGCGCGGGGGCGCCGTGCG